TGCACACATGATGTCAGGAAAACTAGCAGTGAGATAGACCAAGGTGCCTATCATTCCTCTGTATAGAGTTGCATTTACATCAGTTCCAATTGGATATGCGAATAGAGACACTGATGGTGACATTGGAGTCTTTGCTGGTTTGCTATCAGAGAAACCTAAGATCAACAACATACTTGACTTAATAAATAAAGATCGCATCAGTGAGCTGCTTAACCTGCGAACCTAAGAAAAAAAGTTAATTCACCCCTCATGCTCATTTCAAATTTCTTGGCCACTACTCCAGCAAATTCAGTACTTAGAGTCTCATCAATTGATCCAAAGATGATGTCATATATGTAAACATGAGCAAGAATGATATGAGACCCTGACTGTTTTATGAACAAAGTGTGATCAATAGCGTCGCGCTTGTATCAATTCGCCATAAGATAGTTAGACAGGGTATATCATACTAGGTTTTGGGAGCTTTTTTCAAACCATAGGTAACTTTATCCGGACGAGACACATGGTCAGAAATTCTTCATTCTCAAAACCAAGAGGTTGTTTCAGAAAGACTTTCTATTGAAGATCTACATGCAAAAAATGCAGTCTTGACGTTCATCTGAAAGACTTTGAATTTCATGAAAGAAGAAAATGCCAAAAACAACCATATTGCCTCAAGTCTTGCAATAGGGGAAAAGGTTTCATCATAATCCAAGTCTTCTAACTAACAAAATCCTTGAGAAACCAATCTTCCTTTTCTTTTTTGTAATAATCGCATCTTCATCTATCTTGTTCTTGAAAACCTAGCAGGTGCTAATAATGGTTTTTCCTAGAGGTTGTGGAACCAGTCTCCACACACGATGATGTTCAAATTCATTCAACTCGTCTTACATAACCTTGATCCAGTCAGCGTCTTTCAGAGCATCAACCACTTTCTTTGGTTCAATTATGGAGATAAAGTTTGAAAACATGTAGAAGTTGTTGGTGACCTTACTGCGAGTGAGAACTCCTGAGTTGACATATCTAATGAATTAAGATTCAGGATGATCACTAAGAAGTTTATGATTTGCATTATCATTCAGTGGCATGTTATCTAAGATTGATTCTTCACGATAAGAAATATTGCTCGAGATAGATTCTTTAAAGTTGATAACTTAATCCATAGTGAATGATTGGTCTTCAGCATCAAAGAAATGGTTGCCAACAAGCTCAATGATTGGGGCAATAGGCTCAGAATTTAGAACAATGGGCTCAGAGTGTTTATCTAATGGACTGAGAGTGAGCTTGTTTAGAATAAAAGCAGGATGATCAGTTTGATCTTGTATATATGAGTCTTCATAAAACGTAACATGAGTGGATTCCTCAATAGTTTATCTTGAGAGATTAAAACTCTGAAGGATTTAGACACACTGGAATATCTTAAGAATACTCCTTCATCAGCTTGGGCTTCAAATTTAGAACGGTGATCCCTTTGATGTAGTTAATAACAAACACATAATGCTCCATAATGATATATCGGTTTTGAGTGTAACAAGTTGTATTGACAGCTTCCACCCAGAAGGATAATGGAAGACCATCCTCAACAACCATTATTTGCTCAGATTCAATGAGATTCTGATTTTGTCTTTCAACAACTCCATTTTTTGACGAGTTATGATAGCTGAGAAATTTTGAGAAATTCCTGTAGTCATGAAAAAATCTTCTAAAGTGGAATTCCTAAATTCAATGCCATGATTATTTCATATTTCCTGACCTTTTGATCATTAAGAACTTCCCATTTCTTGATGAGAGAAATAATCTCATTAGCAGCATGGCTTTTCTTCCTCAGAAAAATCACCTAGGTGAATCTTGAGAATTCATCCACAATGAGAAGAGTGAACTTCTTCCCAGGTCTTGATTTGACTGGAATGGGTCCGAACAAGACCATATGAAGGAGATGGAAAGTATTGTTGATGGAGGAACAAGACTTGGGCTTGAAGGAGGACTTGCTCTGCTTTCCATTTTCATAAGCTGAATATAGTTTATCCAGAACACACTTCATCTTAGGTATTCCTCTCATGAGTTGATTTCCAGAGATCTTGGAGATGTTTTTAAAGTTCAAGTGAGAGAGTATCTTATGCCATAACCAGTTTAGATTGTATTGATCAAGAGAGAAGAAGAAGTGTCTAAGAGAGTTGTAAGCGGAAAACATGTCCAGGACATAAGTGTCATTATGTCGATTTGCAGTGAGCATAGTGACATCCTTTTGATCAGTCGCTTTTCCTTCCTTTCTGTTGAAGTGGACTTCGTAGTCATCGCCACATAGTTGGCTAATTGAAATGAGGTTGTGTTGGAGGCCTTTGATGTAGGACACATTCTTGAACATAATTGATTTACACTTGATGGTGTCATAGCCTTTTGTAGCTCCTTTCCCATTGTCTCCATATGAGATGGTAGGACCATCCTAACTATCGAAATCATCCAGAAGAGATTTGAAGCCAATCATGTTCCTTGAATAGCCAATATGCTCTTTATCCTAAAGTGCTAAGATATACAGTTAGTACATGCTGAGCCATTTTGCAATGGGTCACTTAGAAAAAATATCATAACAAGAATAAGGGGATAGTTTAAAGAATTTTCCTTTTTAATTGTTATTTCGAGTAATTATATTATCAGCACCATTAGAACTCTCTTCTAAAGTGCAGTCATTGACTTTGTGAGATGAATCTCCGCAACGATAGCATACCCTAATTCTAGAATTATTTCTTTTAAAGATTCAACTTTGATTTCTCTTAACATTTGAGTTGGAGGAAATTTTTATTTAATTTGAAAACTCTTTCTTTAGTTCTGGACCAAGGTGGATTATTGATGGTTACATGGTCACTGCACTCAGATGAGTTGGAAGAAACATCAGTAAGAGAAGATTTTGAACAACAGCCGGAGTCAATGTTACTGATGGAGAAATCAAGGAACTTGCTAAGAACTTCATTCACTGAGTGAACTTCACCATTATATATGGGAAATTTTAGCATGGTTTTAGCTGAAGGCAACACATATTCATGGTGAGGGGATTGTTGAGAAGGATCAAGAGCAGATAAATGAGACATACCTTTAGTATTACCATTTGAGTCAGTGATGCAATGTTTATCAATTAAGGTCTGGTTTATGTAATAATTATTGACAAATCAAGTTTTAAAGTCCTTCTCAAGATCATCAGCATTGTAAAATGCTTGTTCAGTTTTAATCTTTTTAAATAAATAGACAACATCATCAATATTACCACCAAGAATTTTCTCGCACTGATCAGGAATTTGAGTGTTAATAATCCTAGTGACACTAAAATGAGAATGCACCCAATTATTTTCGATAAGTTGAATGTTGTTGGCACGTTAATCAGATTTTTCTTTTTCACAAAGGATATATTTGTTAGTCAGCGAGAGACAGGAAATTTCTTTACTCATAAGAGAAAGAGAATACTCAGTGACAAAGAGCTTTTCTTTTAAGGACTGCACTTCATCTATGAGAAATAATTTTTCTTGATTAGAGTTATAGAGATCGAGATGCAAAAAATCAAACATGTCAGCCTTTTCATTAGAGGAATAATTGACATGATTCTTTACCTGATACATTGAGGATGAGTCACAGTCTTGTGACTTTGAATCCTTTGCTACTTCAGAAAAATCAGTATCAAATGTGCTGATGCTGCTCCTTGACTCTTCAGTGTGAAGATTATCAATTCGATCCATAAGATAGTTAACTTTAGGGATTTCATCATCAGAAAGCCCTTCTTTATGGAAGGTTGTTGTTAAAGTAATCATAATCTCTTGAACATACTTGTAGTTTTGAACTAAATGATAAACATGATAGGGAAGAGAGTTCCATATAGCAACCTTTTCCATCATGTCTAGATTTAAGAGTCTTTTTATTTCTTGTTGTTTCCAGACATAGATTTCTGCTTTAGTCCACCATAGGGAACATCATCACCTATAGGTTGATGCATGGAAAGGATAGGACCCTTATTAATAACATCAAGAATGCCATAGTCCATGATTTCGAGAACGTCCATAGCCTTTGATTAAAACATAGTGAAATCATCTTCATCGAAAGGTGGAATCTTGGTAGTCACAAAGAATTTAGGATTATATGAGGAATACATGATAACTTAAATGTATCAAAAACCTGATCTGATACCAGTTGAAGGTTCGCTTAAACAGATACAAACAAGTATAAATACAAAGAAAAGACAATATAGAAGAACAAAAGAACAACGATGATCACCAAGATGGTTTTTAATTAAGAAAAATGTTCTCACAAAGAGAACGGGTGCACAAAGCAGTCACAAAGAGGGTCACGCGACACAATAGGGTTTAACCCTAATGCAAGACTATATACTAATACAATAAATGGAAATCCCTTAATTCAAGGTACGTAATCTAATCTACATATATTCCAATCCTGATCACTAAGATTGTGGATCTGATATCTATTATATAATTACAAAACTATAACATCATGGTTATTAAAATAAATAAATTGATAAAATTCGATGAACGAATAGTCGCAATAAATTCATATTATTTAGGGGATTATTGGTTTTGGGCAGCAGAATGTTATAAATTGGATTATTCGGGGGTTAAAGTGTAATTTCGGGACTTATTTCGTAAAGGATTTTAGTAGTCAGGGGGTGTTTTGGTATTATTGGGACATGTTATGTAAGAGTTTTAGTAGGCGGGGGCTGATTGGTAACATTTGGACTTGATTTGTAAAGGGTTTCTGGAGACAGGGTTAAAAAAAGGTAAATTGTAGACTTATTTTGAAATGATTTATGGTTGGAGGGACCAGTTCTGCCATTATGGAAATATGTTTGTATGACCGCGTATATAAGTATATGAAACCCTAAACCTAAGGGAGCCTCATCCGCACAACCCATGTTTCCCCTGATTGCGGCCGTAATCCTCAAGACCCCATCACCGGTCATCGCTTTCTCACCTGCTAAAGCCGGGAACCACCAGAAACGCCGCCACCCTCACTACACTCGCCATTCAGCCGCCGCTGTCGGCCACCAAAGTCCACCGTGAATCGTTACCGCCGACGATGACATTCATGGGTGCTATTCCATTGCCGACGATGATGGACTGTGGTTGTCGTTGTTGCCTTTCGTGGTTGAAGAAGAACGATTCTGGTGCTTCGCCTTTGCTGCGGTTCCGACGACCATTCCGCCTTTCGCCATCTGTTAAGGTGTCAATGCCACTCCGAGTCCGACAGCCGCCATTTCCGCCTGCTGCTTTGTCGACGTGTGCCACTGTTACATCCCCGTTGCCACTAGTGACGTTGGGAACGACCGGTTGGTCGCCGAGACTGACAAGAGGAGCCATGAACGGCAAAGCTCAGGCTGTGATCGAATGGAAGGTCCCCGGTAAGGCTAAACCGTGACCTATTCCTCCCGTCTTTCGTTCCTTTTGATTGTACCGAGTCATCACCGCCGCTTACTGTCGCCATTCCGCCATCTGTCGTTTGCTGCCATCCTTCGCCGCAGCCAGCCACCGTGGAAGGTGGCTGTGTGCATGTATTACTATGTGTTTAGGTGTGTGTGGTGGTATTTCTACTAGTTGTACGTGTGTTTGGGTGTTTTGGTTAACCGGAGTTCACGGAAGATCCACCGCCACCACTCGCCACCGCCGTCCACCACCAGGTGGTTATATGTGTGTGTGTCATTTTGGGACTAAAGCCTTGTAAAATGTAATAGAAAATGGAATAATGAAAGAAAGGAACCCTAACCACCACCGTGAGGTGGTGGCTGCCGCCTCCTGCCGCCACCGGCCGCCGTGTCGGGTGGCGGTGTGCTTGCATGATTATGTTTGATTCGTTTGGATGTTGAAACCCTAATGGGCTTAAGGATTTGGCTTTGGGCCTATTGGGCTAAGATGGGTTGGAAACCCTAATTAGGGTTTGGAAAACCCTAATGTCATGAAACCCTAATTTGGGACTTATCGGGACCGCATCGAGATTATTTAATGAATTTAAAATATTAATTAATAATCATTGGTAAATGAACTTAAGGAAATAATGGACTTAATAGATTAAGTCCTTAATGGGTTAAGTAGGAACACTTAACCCTAATCGATATTTTATGTGAGAAACCCTAAATTGGATTTGGGTTCTTATTGGGCCAATTGGAACATGTTATGGACTAAAGAAATCATTAGGCCTTAGGATAGGACCCATTAGAGAGGCTTGGGCCCAATTTGGAAAGTTGGGCCATAAGTGGGCCATAATTAGGCATTGAGGACTATTAGCTATTGGACCATCAGAATGCCAATCATTTGGACTGGAATAAGTGGTTGGGCCTTAAGATAAGCCTATATAGAGGTTTGGGCCCAATTTGGAAAATTGGGCCATGTGTTGGGCTTTGGTCCATGGTTTGGCTGTTGGCCTTTGAATTGGGCCTTGAATTGAATAAAGCTGAGTTAGGGTAAAGTAGTCTTTTATCCCAAGTATAGAGTTGTGGTTATGTGTTGGAACCCAATTATTAATTGGGTATTGTTTGATGTTGACAGTTCGGGAATTTGTCAACCAGCAAGGGGAGTTTTATCTGTGGGGCTTCAATGGTGCCAGGTGAGTCTTTTCACCATACCCATGGGTCTAAGGCACCAAGGCCGGCCCATTATGTGATTATGTTTTATGTGTTAGTCATTTATGTGATTTGATATGCTATGTGATTGTGTGTTATTACATGAAAGACCCCGGGGGGAGCCCGAGGCATTGGATGTAAGACCATGTGGGGTAGCTCATGGCTTTCCTAGATAAAGACCATGTGGGGTAGCCCATGGCATTCCTAGGTGAAGACCATGTGGGGTAGCCCATGACACGAAGGTGTAAGACCCTGGGGGGGAGCCCATGGCATCTTTACATGTTTATATATGCATGGTTTATGTGTTATATGTAGCTTCTATAGCTAGCATGATATGTGATACAGGTAGCTTTTATAACTAACATGATATGTGATATGTGGATTGTGTGTATGGTATGCTCTGGGAAACTCACTAAGCTTCGTGCTTACAGGTTTTGTTTATGGTTTCAGGTATCATCGTTTTGGAAAGGAAGGGCTCGGATTGATCGCAGTGCACACACCTATGATTTCCGCAATGAATGATTTTGGGATAAACTCTGATAAAGGATTTACTTGACTATAAATTGAAATGTTTGAATTAAATGGTATCAATATTTTAGTTATATTAAAAATGAAATTTTCCCTTGATTTTTGGGTCGTTACAAAAACTATCTATAATTACAAAGTGTCTAACCGACTAATATACAAAAGTCACGTTGTCGTTGATGTTATGCTAGTGTTGGTGTTGGTGCTAACGCTAGCACTGGTTGACATCGTGTGAAAGAGGTTCAACTCGTCAGATCATAAGGTGTGACCTTACATCTTTCAAGATGAATGTTCAATAAATATCTACCACTTTTGAACGAGAATGATTGATGTGGTTGTGTGCATGGTCTAGATAAAGAAACACAACACCATGATAGGATTAAGAACAATTAATATCATGATCGGGTTCGAACTGGAATTGGGGAAAACAAATCATTCGTGTAAAAGGAAGATTACGAAGAAGAGAGACGTTCTACCTTTATATTACATAAGGATCAATATCTCCGATTTTCACCTTTTCATGTTCTTGTATTATCCTTGCTTTAGGGTAGATTCAATTATTCAAATGTCTATTTAATTAAAATTTAAGGAACACTTACTACTAAGATATAATCACATAATAAAATCATCATTTTAAATGACAATTTAGGTTATTAGTCATCCATTAGAAGTCAACTCTCGAGTAAGAAAGAAAGGAGACTACTCAGTGCAACGTAGAAATATCGAGGATGAAATTTATATAAGTGGGGGGGGGGGGGGGGAGGGAGGGAGTTGTAACATATGTTTTCACTTTTCGAGATATAACAATATAACCTTTGTTTACAAAAACTGAAAGTGAAAATATATTATTTTTTTATCCAAAGTAATCTAAAGGAAATATTGTAGTAGACGTGAATACAAACATCTGGATATAAAAAAAACATCAAAATCGAAGATCGTATGAAGAATTTATGATTTTCCAAAGTTAATGAGAAAGTAGTAGAAACTCGGCGCATTAAAAGATCCACCTACCAACCATTAATGCTCCACCATCCACCATCTTGCTCCCCCATCCACCACCATTTATACTTGTCAAAGGCGCGAAGCGTCCCTTGTCTTGGCTCGATACGTCCATCAGAAAAATACCTTATAATACCCATCTTCCATACCTTACACCATCCTTTCTCTCTCTTTCTCTCTCTCTCTCTCTCTCTCTCTCTCTCTCTCTCTCTCTCTCGCAGTCCCTAGTAATTCAATTTCTCGTTCTCAAGTGTAAGTAGTGAAGTGCTAAAGTGTTGGAAAGATCCGACAAGATAAGGATTAAGTGAAGAAGTTAAGGATTAAGAGACGAAGTTATGTTATTTGTTTTTCGAGTTATTCGTCAATCGGATAAGTTACAATTACCTTTAAGTATAACTTGATTTAGAGTATACCCATTGTCAGTGTTATGAACCCGAGTATAAGATTAATCAATTATTCTAATTATTATACTAATTGGTCTACTTATCAGATCGGTGTCTACAATAGAAACGTTGGCCTAGTTGTTGGATTTCATAAAAGTTGTATGTCGAAATGGTTCTGCCTCCCGGTCGTCTTGACTGACTAATCCTTACTTGATAGTCATTTCAGTATTAATGGGATTAATGAAGGATCTAGTTATTAGTTACTAGATTTCATAGTTATTGATAAGTTATAATATTATAGATTAATGAGTGCTTGGCGTACCTGCTAGCCAGTGGAATCGTTGTTAGTTGGTCAGGTGAGTTCCAATAACTCATTTATTAAGTTGATTATGCTTGTATATGTATAGTGTATCCAATATGTGTATAAGTTATAGGGATGGACTAACTATGGATATCTTTCGTGAAATCAATTAGAGGGAAGATGATCATGACAATTGTGTGATCAGTCTTCTTTAATGTGTCAGATATGTGTATAAGTTAGAGGGATGGACTAACTTGGACATTCTTCATGAAATCAGGTAGATTGAAGACGATCTTGACGCGATGTGTGATTAATCTTCATTGATGTGTCTAATATGTTCTAGGATTCATATGTTGTGTTATTATGTCAATATGTGTGCTTTGTGGAAGTACATGATTAATATAATAGATGAGTGTTGTGTAGAGCTCACTAAGCTTTTTCGTTTACCTGTTGTTTATAAATGTTTTTCATGATTATCAAAGAAGAACCCAGCTTGACTGTAATAGCATCTGCATTACGTTTTGAAAAGTATGTTTAAAAATATAAAGTCTTCTGATATCTACTCTCAATGACAATGTTGTTATGTAACAATGGAAAGAAATTTTTTTATGAATGATGTTTTTATTATCAGTTTTAAATTGGGACCAAACAGATCTTTTATCTTTCTTTTTTTATAAAAGAATCAGGGTGCTATATTTAAGTAGTCGTATCTTGTGTTTTTGGAATTTAACATTTAATAAAAGTTGACAGTCTTAGACTCGTTTTTTAGAGAACCCTTGTTTCTCAAGTATAGGTCTTATTATTTTTATATTTTTTTTCTTGTAGCAAGTCTTTTGATTTTTGTAGCAAAGATTCAGGTTGTGTTAAAACTAACATGTATGATACTAAAAAGAACCATTATTCACCAGTTTCTTGCTATTATTCAGTACATCAACCTCAACAATTCTCTACTATTTTTTATTCTTCGATTTCCAGTTTGCTCTTTATCTTGCATTCTCGGTGTAAGTGTCTATTGTTCTTTGTTTCAAGATATTAACAATTTGAGCATTACAAAGATTTGATAGATTTATATGAAATTGAAATTGATTTGAGTTGTATCTGATTGATAAAAGGTCACATGAAAAAAGTTAACAAGAAATATCAAACTGTAGCAAATAGCAACATACTTTACTTTTCTTTAATCGATCTAGAAAATGTATTTTTTTTTACCTACAATGTACTTAAATACATTTACCCATAGTATCGACTTACATTTTTTACCCATATAATTATGTTGCTATTATGGATATAAAATAAATTACGTCTCCTAAATTGGTTCGTCATGTGCATTATGTATATTCATTTTTAGATTTTATACTTAATTGGTTTGTCATGTGCATTATGCATATTCATTTTTAAATTTAATGCTTTTGTAGTAGGTATGATTTATTTTCTTTTTCTTTTTTCTTGTGTGTGTGTATTGTGTAATATAGACATTATTTGCAAAAACACTAAATATCATTTTTCATCTATAAATTTTAAAAGAACTTAGAGATA